TTTTTTTTTGTGGAGCTAATTGTAATGTATCCAGAATAGTTTTTATTGCACCATTTTGATGCCTATATAGGTGAAGATGACAATGGAGCAGCCAATGATTGAGTATTGCAGCTTATGGGTAGCGAACTCCCGAGAAGTTTTAGTCAACATAGCGAGTATGAAGCGCCAGATGTTGCGACGTCCATGACGAGCCGTGTGTGGACCACATACTCGCCTATCGCCATAGCTATTCAAATCCTTCATCACCGCATCAGCTTTATATATTTTGCGTTCCCCCGTCTTCGCATAGTCCATGTTCACATAGTTGATCGTGCACAGCATTCGCTCCGATGAGACCTGGCCCTCAGGCTCCATATTTGTGCACGAACTGGTCTTCGGCTCTCCACAATTGATGAAACGTTCGGCCGCATGGAGCTGATGCTTCATATCGGGTGCCAGGTCCGTTTCTGCGACATGCGTGTTAGGATCGACTTTATTCTCGACATTACTGCTGGTTAGAGTTAGATATTCCGTGGCCGTCACTTGGCTGGTACTCGAATCGGAGTAGTATTCAACGCTCGATGAGGATGCACTCGGTTTCCTTGCCAGGGCAATGTTGGAGGTGCGATCCTGTGGACGCAGCAGATGCAACTGTGGCTGCCCATCGGGCTGCGAGTGTATCTGGTGCTTGAACTGCTGCTGGAAAAATAATGGTATCTGGTAGCCATACGTTAAGTTTGGCTTCCTCGTTGCCTGTCCTTGCCGCTCATACTCGTATTGTTCCTGCTGCTGGATGAGCTCCTGGTCCTGGTCCTGGTCCTGCTCCAGCTCCCGCTGCTGCTGCTGTTCTATAGTGTGGCTTCTTCTGTTGTACATTTGCTGGCGCTCATGCTCGTACTGCTGATACTGTTCATACTCCTGCTGCTCCCGTTGCTGCTGCTCATCATCGTCATATTCGTTGGCCGTTTGCTCGTCCTCGTCGTCCTCCATGTCGATCTCGTCGTACTCCAGCTCATCTCCGTCCTCAATAGCCGAAGCCCTGTGCTCTAGCTCCTTCTGCTCATCGCCTCCACTGTGCCGCGGAGGCAAGCGCACACCTCGATACCTTGAGAACAGCATCCGATTGTGAACATCGCGAAGTCTGTCATCCTGTGACCAAAGATTGCCAAAGTACGACCGATGATCGTCATTGAAGTTGTACATTAGATGACGCGCTCGCCACTTGGCACGCTCGGCAATAATTGCTACGTGCAGCCGCCGCTCCAAATGGCGCCGCTCCACGGGCTGGCGTTCGACCACATTGTAGTTGTAGCACAAAACATCCAGCTGGCTGCCAGTCAGCTGCTGTACGTGGTCTATGGTGGATGGCATGGTGTTGGCTCCGTTTTTTATTTTCTTTTTTTGCCCTATTGATTGACTGGCGTCGACAGAGTTTCCCTACACCTCGAAGTATGTAAATACAGTTCTGGAGATTTATTTGGTTTCAAATGTCCAGCCCGCCTTTCTACCGTGAATTTTGATCTGCTCGATGCCATCAATTTAAAAAATTTTTATTTTAAATTTTTTTTTGTGAATTTTTAATTTTTTGTCATTTGGTCAAGAGATAAATTTCAATGCCCTATAATATTTTACTAGAGTTGTTATTTGTATACCAAGATTTGTATCGATCTTATCATGGATAGCGAAAGTAAATTTTTCCTATTTTATCCAAATTTTATATGTCCTGTACCACACGTAATTGTGGTGTTGAGATTTTTCCGATTCGCCACGGATGGTGGGGCAACTTTCAATAGCAGCAAAATGCTTGACGATTGGACGGACGGACGGTAGGACGGATATTACAAAAAACAATGTACTCTTTTAATTTCATACGATATTATAAAGAGATATTAATTAATTAATTAAACTATCTGAATTTGCAAATAAAAATTGCAACAAGGGCTCGATTTATGTCGAGATTAAGCTTAGCTATGATTAGAGATTTATATTTTGCTATTTCCGCCGTATATATTTTTACTCTCTTGCCTCAAAATTCTTTGTTATACCATGAACCCATTGAAAATGGGAAATCAGGGTATAATGGTTTTTATTTAAAGATCTTGTCTTATTGGCTATTCTTTGATATCCCTTGACTTTGTTCGTCGATCAATCACCGTATCACTTGAACTTTCTCAATTCAGTTTTACCACACATTATAATAATATGAACAGCACTGTTTATGACTTAACTGTTAGGTTTAGAATATTATACATTCATGTTGTTTTACACACGAGACGTTAAAATTTCACCAATGCATTTCCAAGTTTCTTGATTCGAACCAGAGTTCAGTGCATTCTTTGATAATGAGTTTGCGTTAGACCAGAATTAGATTGGAGACATTCTGGCATTCTGTATCTGATATCGTTCAGAGAATTCGATGTACTTTTTCTAGTCAGGTGAGTGTTACCACAGGTTTTTGCATAAAGGCAGTTCTCTAATATGAGCTTGCTTGCATTCCAGAAATTGAATGAGTTCTGTAGATATGGGCTGTTGTTCTCTGAAGGACACTCAGCTGAACTATCCAAAAGTCAGGAGAATAAGGAAATGGAATCATCCAACTATATCAATGCTTAGGCTAATGATCTTCCTTTTTATGCTCGATGCTTCCTTAGTGTACGCTAAACACGCGTCATGGAGCATTGAAGATCCCGACTTTGACACGGAGCATGACAAGCTCGGACGGTCCCACTATCCATATGCCCAGCTCACCGAATATTATTCGAGCCCTAAATATAAAGAAGAACCGATATATAATGCCTTTGGTATGACGCCACTTCACTTGATCATACGTATTTTATTCAGCAAAACTTCAAGAGTACCCAATGGTAGTTAAAAATCCTAGCTAATAGATACATAACTAAAGTAAACAATGTAAATTCTATTGCTATAGAGTATATAACGGTAGTTAATGGCACGAATGCCCTGGCCTTCGGTGAGAAGTCTATTGAAAATTCGTGGGCCAGTTTGCTTTGCTGCAACAAATTAGCGTTTGTCTGGACAATTTTTTTGCTATTTCTAATAATTGCCATACCATTCGTTGCGTAAGTAATGTATGGGAAATCGGTGTATATGGTTTTGATTAAAAAAAATAAATAAT